GGAACTTTAATTGTTATTTCAGCAGGTTGTGTTATTCCAGTAAAGCTCTCAATTGTATCCTTTTTGCTCCTTGAAGATTCGCTAATGCTATTAGATTCTAATTCATTCTCAAACAACTTGATACACTCAATAAACTGACCAAGTTTTTCAATGTCATTTCCCAAACAACTTGTAACGCGTCCAACTGATGAGTATATGTCCGAAAGCGCATTGTTTGTATCTGGAGTTCCATTCAACATTGCTTTTGTTGATGGTAACTTTACAGCATCTTTTCTCCAACGTTGAAGTATGTAGCGTTTTGGAACTTTCTTGATCTCATGATGCCTAACACATAAAAAGCATGATGACATAATATTCCATAAAGCTCAAAATGAAGACATGTGCAAGTTATGATATGATCTTTCTCATCAAAAAGAACCTGTAATAAGAAAGAAACAAACAAAATGAAGATTTAATATTTCATACATTAACAACATGGATGTTGTGAAGGACCTTGCGTATCAACTCATAATTAAAGTTAGATTCATATGTTTTAACTTCATTTACCATCTAATAACATTGAATTGTATGAAGCACTAGATCAAGATAACTTAACAAGCAATAAGTATCATTCACTGGCATTAAGTTTATAATTAATTTAGAATTCATAAAAAAACATACCTTAAATTCTCCTTTTCTTTCTTTATCCCTGTCTTGAATTATATCTTTACTCAATGMTGAACATGTCCACAACGATGCAATAATCTCCTGTTGAACAACATAAATATTTCACGTGTGTAAACTTCTGCTGCATGCCTCTCTATTAGAAGAGGGGTCTCCATCATCGGTGTTGTCGTCCTTGTCTCATGATCAAGTAACCTTTGTGTATACCTTTGTTTATATATCGCAGTCTCAAAGCGACTGAAAAAGTGCACGAGTGTTGATTTCCAATTTGAATTTTGGCCGAAGAAGTAGTTTCACTTTCTAATCTTGAAGTTGTCTTCATGAGTCCAGACATTTGAATATCTCTATAATATGTTGGGATCCATCTATCCCGAATGTCAAACATATCTCTCAACCATTGATGACACTCCAATTTGTACTCCGCTAAAAGGGACATCCATTGCTCTTCAAATTGTATCGGTTCAATGTATTCACTCCAAACAAGATTATTAAAACGTGATCGAAAACCTACATCATCATCATTAAGTTGGGTTCCAATCTACAAAACATGATGAAATATAGTTAAATGAAGTGTTATCAAAACAGAAAAATAAAAACTCACATAATTTAAGTTTACTATGCAGGATGTACATTTAATTGGCATTACTTTCACATAAGATGTTTGAAAATTTCACAACTACTTAAAATTAACGGGAAGTTTGCTGTGAAGGTTCATGAAATTTATATAAAGGTAATTTTTAGAGTGCTAAACTAAGTCATTGCTTAAAATCTTCACAGAAGTAAACTTAATTCAAATTTAATTGATAGTAACTTGACTTAAAATATTGGAACTACAAAGTAAGTGTAAATAGAGTGTTAAACTACACACGGTTCAAATTTAAGTACATACCTTTGAAGGAAGTTTATTCATTATTTGCCACATACAAAGTCGATGCTTTGCACTCTTGAAAATAACTTCTATTGCTGCTTTCATTCCTAAATCTTGATCTGTTATAACCATTTGTGGTTCAGAACCATGCACAAAAAGGAATGCATTAAGTAACCATGCATAAGGCTCCTTTTTCATCTGAAAGTAGACCCGCACCAAATATTACACATTTTTGGTGATTGTCAATCCCCGTAAATGGAACAAATACCATATTGTACCTAAAACATAAACCAAAATCCCAAAGATTATTATAATTGAATGTATATAAAACAATTGTACATTCACAGCAACATTGTTGTGAAGATTCAATTTTGTAAACTTTTATAAACTKAAHTGGTGTATCTTACTTGTTCTTTTTGAATGTTGCGTCAAATGAAACTACATCACCAAATGCTTTGTAGTTCAATTTACAAGTTTCATCTGCCCAAAAACAACCACTTAACTCTCCTTTGTCACCAACTAAATACTCGAAAGAAAAGTTCGGCATCGTATCTTTCTTTAGTGTAAACTTGTCCACAATCATTTGTGCGTMTTTATTCCCAATAAAAGATGAAACGTCTCTCGAAAAGTTTTTAAATTCTGTCTTAGTAGCCCCTACTCTGTCATAGCTACCTACCATCTCCTTCGCCAAGTTGTACGAAGAAACTGGACCAATGTTTGCATTYGAAAGCTTCATAGTAAAATATTGTTGTGAATAACTCATCTTTCTATTYGAACGTAGTAAATGCTCATCCTCTGGTAAAACAAGGCAATGGTTGTGTTCTTCCACMAWCTTATACACTTYATAACAATTCCCATGTACAACATGAAGCTTAATGCAAGCAGGACAAGAACTTCGGAATTCAAGTCTCCTACGTTTGTCTTTCTTAGAAGTTCCTTCCAAGGTATTATATGATGMTCTCTTCTTCATACCTTCTTTGCTACAAACAAAGAACTTTCTTAGCACAATTCCTTTCCTATCCGTTCTTTGTGTAGACTTTCTAACATCAAAACCTGCTGCTKWMGAATACTTTTTGTAAGCCTCAAATGCATCTTTCAAATTTCCAAACTTTGTTCCAACAATAGGCTTAAACATATCCCCTACATTTGGTGTCCAGGTCCTTGATTGATATGGTGAAGAGACATCATTGTTATCCGACTCTTCCGTTAAAGCATCATTTAAATCTAAGAAACAACAATTACAAAATTTATAGATTTCTATAATATACAACTTTTCATTTAAATATTGCAATGTAAAATTTTATGTGTTTACCATCACCAAAAACATAGTTAGAACTGTCAAAAGAAAAYTTCACAAAACAAAAGGAATAGTTAAAACAAGTTTCTTGAATTTTAAAGAAGGGGTGGGTTGTTAATTAAATATCCAAGGATTTATACTCTTCACAAAGCAAAAGAAATAGTTAAAACAGTTATAGATGGGTTATGGTCATGGTTATTGTCATGGTTATGTATGGACATGGCTATTGTGAAGCAAACCATGACCCGCCCAACATCCTTCACAGCATGCCTGTTGTGAAGGTTCAAAGAAGAAAGAGAAAACAAACGGGTAAACAACACTTCTATACAAACTGTAGATATATATTCTTTTTTTTATTACTAAATAACCATGTTTGGCTTCTAGTTATGGTCATGGCTAGTGTGAAGCTAACCATGACCTGCCCACCATCCACATAGATGATATGGTGTGTACAGTTCAAGAAGGGTTACAATTATGGTTATAATATGATGTGAACAGTTCTAGAAGTGTTATTGTCATGGTTATGTATGGACATGGCTATTGTGAAGCAAACCATGACCTGCCCAACATCCTTCACAGCATGCTTGTTGTGAAGGTTCATAGAAGACAGATAAAACAAACAGGTATACAGCTTTTCTATACAAACTGTAGATATATATATATTCTCTTTTTTATTACTAAATAACCATGTTTGGCTCCTAGTTATGGTCATGGCTAGTGTGAAGYTAACCATGACYTGCCYACCATCCACATAGATGATATGGTGTGTACAGTTCAAGAAGGGTTACGATTATGGTTACGATATGATGTGAACAGTTCTAGAAGTGTTATTGTCATGGTTATGTATGAACATGGCTATTGTGAAGCAAACCAAGACCTGCCAAACATCCTTCACAGCATGTCTGTTGTGAAGGTATGACCAATTTTTCCTTCCTCAATCAGGTGGTTACTTGTGCAATGCTATATTGTGTGTTAAGGCTTTATGTTAAGATATTCCTTAAAAAGTACAAGCATATTTAGTTTAAAAACCTCCAAAATGAAAAAAAAATCAGTTAAAAGAAACTAATGACCTTGATTACATTGTTCACCATCATAAACATCACCTGAGATTCTCTTGTGAGTATCTTCATTAGACATTCTTTCTCCTACAATCAGAATATGTAAAACATTCTTTTAGGGAGTTTTGAATAGTTGCATCCAGTTAATGAATCTTCACAACAAAAACAATCATTCAAAATAAGCTAATGACCTTAATTACCCTCTACATTGTTGAAAACACTATTTGAGATAAGTTGCTGATCATCTTCATTAGACATCCTTTTTCCTGAGACTGAAATGTCTTAAACCCTAGATCAAAGCCTACATTCTTATCAATTATATTATAAGGAAAGCAAAAAATTAAAAATAAACAAATTACGTTTATGTAAAAGATTTCTTACTTGAATTAAGGTAGAGAAGTTCAGTGCAGAATTGAGGCAACGTCAATGTCAATTTCTATTGAAATCGACATCGTGGATGAAATTTTGTGATGTAGGTTMAATGGTAGTCGGAGTTGTCAATTGAAGATCTTCAATCAAAGTACTGGACCAATTGAGGCATTCAATCATTGTTTACTGGTCGAAGAAAGAGGAGATCGTTAGAGGGAGAATGCGAGTTCATCCCAGGAAGAASACAAAGTCGATCATGGAGAAAGGCGGTAAGAATCACTTTTCATTGTTTTCGATCGTGAGGTTAAAAAAATAAAAAATATATAGGTCAAAAATACCCCTACAGTTTAAAGTTTTATGCTAAATTTCAACCATTGAATCGTTATCTTATAAAATTGATCAATGGATATAAGTTGGTCTTACGGGTCTCACCAAAAGCAATTGGTCTCACGTGAACCCAACCCTATATATATAGACTTGGGATCATGTGAGACCAAGGGTTTTTCGTGA